TATTAGTCAAAATATGTACTTAAGCCCTCACAGTTCTCTAAAACAGGATGACGCCAGATTGACGGTCTATGTGTTTTATGTGTGTGTGTGTGTGTGTGTGTGTGTGTGTGTGTGTGTGTGTGTGTGTGTGTGTGTGTGTGGGTGTGCACATACATTTATATGCACATTTATATACATATATATTTACAAAAAAAATCATTTTAAAAAACAAATGATGTTAAAATTTTTTTATTTTAAATAATATAGTTTCACTTTACTTCTTAAATTAAATATTGAAATAGAAAAGAACACATTGGAAAAAAAAGAAAAAGTAAATATAACACACAAATAAACACTTTAAAAACTGTAAACAATAAATCAATTGTTACCTTTGTTATAGGAGCTTCTGCCTTAGTAGAAACTGAGTTCATGATTGAGGTTTGAAGAGCTAAGACAATAAACAACACTTATCACTTTTTATGTTAAAAAATTCTACTATTGAAAAAACAAACTTATTTGAATAATAGTATCATCATCATCATCATCATCATCATCATCATCATCATCATCATCATCATCATCATCATCATCATCATCATCATCATCATCATCATCATCATCATCATCATCATCATCATCATCATCATCATCATCATCATCATCATCATCATCATCATCATCATATCATCATCATCATCATATCATCATCATCATCATTATCACCACCACCACCACCACCACCACCACCACCACTACCACCACCACCACCATGATCATGATCATTATCATCCTCACCACCACCATTATTTCAAACTACTTTTCACCACTTAAACTACTTTTTCACCACCACCATGATCATGATCATGATCATTATCATCATCACCACCACCATTATTTCAAACTACTTTTCAATAACTAAATAACTGCAACTGTGTTTTGGGATGACATTAGTTAATACAAACATTTGTATTTGTATTAACTAATAAAATATAACTTGTAAAACAGCTAACACTGACAAACTTACTTTTTTAAATTTAGTTGTCATATTTTAATTGCTATAATTTACACCGATGATGCAAATAGCAAAAATCTGGAGAAAATTTGAAAAAATATATATACTATGATACTCATTAATATAAAATAAATAGACAAAGGATTAGTATCCTCTTTACTCAGACGCAGAACAAGGGAGGTGAAAATAATTTTGAAAAATCTGAATAAAACCAAAATGAAATGAATGCATAAAATGGAATCAAAGAAATTTCCAATCAAAATTTCCATTATCAAAAATTCAAAAATTAGTAAAAATAAATTTTGTTAAATTGTGTAGTTAATCCATAGTTATACTGCTAGGAACAATTTTGTTAATATCAAGTAATTCCAATACTTTACTTCAAAACTATAAAAAATCAACAGCATAAGATTACATTGGCGTAAATACAAGACATTGTGTAAGTATATAAAATTCTATCAGAGTTAACAGTCTAGCGACATCAATACGAGATAGCGTAGAAAAACATAAAATGTAGTATTCTATTAAGATTAACAGTATAGGGTTACATTTTATGACATCAATACAGAATGGTACGAAAGTAATTAAGTTCTAGAAACGAACAAACCTGAAATATACATATGGATATGACATAGAAAAACATTTTAACATCAGTTTCTAATTGTTTTAAGAATTTTTTACAGTATGCGTTCAACTATTCACACTTTCATTAATTGAAACCAATTTTACTGGTCATTAGATTTGTTTTATCAAACCATTTTTTTCAAGTCAGATAACTGAAGATAGTAATAAGTAGGATATTTAATAAGTGGAATAATTTTTTGGTCTAATTAAATATATATGTAGCTGCATAAATAAAACTTTTTTTAAAAACTTAAAGAATATTTTTGAAATCCTAAAGAATGTTCAAACTATGTTTGTGTGTATGAAAATTCTTGGTATTGGCATTGTTGTGATTCCTGAAGAGTTTAATTTAAAAGAATATATGAACTTTAATGACACAATTGTTGCAAAAAAACATGTTTTATCTAATGAATCATCTCTTGCAATGGTTCATTAAAACAAGAAGTCAATCATAGCAATAATAAAATCAAAATCAACCTTATTTGACTATTAACTTAACAACTTTATTTGACTATTAACTATTCCTATACAATTATAACCTATTCCAATACAATTACATAACCTATTCCAATACAATTAAGGGATGCAACTGAAACTCTATTGGACTTTAGTTGTTTTATATATTTTTATATTTTTCAATCAAAATTTCAAGACTTAGAAAATGAATTATACTAAAATTTAAAACAAGCTTTAATTGAACATTATTTTTCTTTTTTACTCCTTTTTTAAAATGTTTATTTTTAATACAAAATTAATTTGTAAAGGTTATTCTTTCATTTTTCTCACTTCTCATTTTTTATTTTTCATAATTGACCTGTTTACATGAAAATCAATTAAATTGAATATTCAATGAGTAGAACGGGTCATTTGATTAGAATTTCATTTAGCAGGTGCACACTAAAACCGTTGATATTTATATAAAGTTTAATACACTAAAACCGTTGATATTTAAATAAATTATTTAGTAACTCTCTGGTAAAGTACTTTCTCTAATATGATAAATTTATAAGATATACTAAAATACAATAAATAAAAAAATCTAACAATTTTTTAATTTTAATTTAAATTTGAAATATGCTGGTATAAAGATTAAAAATATGATATAAATTGAATTAAAAATATAAAGATTCAAAATATGCTAATAAAATATGGCAGACAGTAATTAATTTAACTTTCACAGCAAATTAAAAACCTACAACTGTTGTAACTTCTGACTTATTCCTACTGTGGGTGTGCAAAATATGTATTCAAAACTAAGAATTGCTTTAACTACTCACTTATTCCTATTGTGGATGTGCAAATATAGATTCAAAATTACTAAGAAAAAATCTTGTACATTTTGTGCACGGGCACCCATTTTTAGCAGCCATTAAATTAAAATAAAAACTTTTGAGCAGCCATTAAATTAAAATTAAAAACTATACTGTTAAAAATTTAAAAAAAAAAAAAAAAAAAATCAAATTTGTTGCAAATGAAAAAAAAACACATCCAAATAAAGATAAAATAATATAAAAACATTCGTACGTGTTTGAAGTGAATTGTTTCTTTTCTCATGAACCTTATCAAAATTAACCTGTGTACAAAAATATCACAATTTTAAAGTGTTTCAAAATGAAAATGTTACAAATAAAATCTGAACATTATACATAAAATGGCACATGAAACATATTTTACATTTGCTATAAAAACAATTAAAAAAATATTTGCTTAAACTATGTAAATTCAAAGAAGAAAACTTTTAAGATTCTATTATAAGAAATTTCTATTTGAGAAAAATATTGTACAAATAATATAATAACTGAAACAATGAATAAATAGCTAAATAAAGTTTAAAGAAAAAAATGGTTTTCAAAATTACAATAAAAAACTTAAACATATATTGACTTTACAACTTTTTGACATTTTTAATAAATGGAAAATGTTTGAAAAAAAAATCTTTTTTATTTCAATAATGAAGGAACTTATATGAAAATTAAAAGGAACTTATATGAAAAATACAAAAATTAAACACTAATTTTAATAGTAATAAAAAACCTTAATATTACTTTGCTAAGCTCCTGGTGCAATTGCTGGACTTGGGAGTCATGCTGAACAGCAGTTAGGTCTCTTTTAACAACAACATAGTGTGTAATGGAACTAAATTAATAATAAAAGTACTTTAAATGACAGATAATTCGAATTACAAATTAATTTTAAATGATATATATAGTTGTTTATATATCTAATTTAACTTTTATATATTTCAATTTAAATATTTTATGTATATTTAAATATACATAATTTTAAACTTAATTTTAAAATGAATGAAACTTAATTACTATAATCTACTTGTAGTATTTACTTTTTTATGTGTTTGGGTAAACTAACAAATTGTTTTTTGGGGAATATGACTAGATTTTAATACTAAATTTTTAAAAATGAATGTTTATTTAACCAACATATTGAGAATGAAAAATGTTTATCTCTTAAAATCTATAAAAAGCTAATAAGAAATTCAAAATGAGATTTCTATTGCAACTAATATGAAAAATTATTTACAACAAATAAAAGAGCTTAAATTGAGTTAAAATTATTCATTGATTCAACAGCCATCTGAGTTGATTCTATTCTTAATAATCAGTGAAGAAAATGGAAGTTTTTTTGGAAATTGCAGAAAACCACCTAATTGTAAATATTATTATTTTTTGACTATTATTAACTTGTAAAAAACCAACAGAAATTAAAAAGACTTTATAAATTAATCATAGAAATGAAACCCTAAAATGGTAAAAAGACATATACAGGTAGAGTTCCCTTAAAAACTACGCAAATTTTGAAAATGGAGTACATCCATTACAGGTCAACTATTTGAGTTTTTTTTTTTGTGATTTGAAAACACATATTATAGGGTTTTTCTTCCCTGGAAATTGTTATCCTTGTTTTGCCATATTTAGTGAGAATTAGCAGAATGAAATTTCTGATTTATTCAAAGATTCCCCTTAAAAACTACAAGGAACATAATTGTATTTATATGGATGAAAAATTCTGGTACCTTTCTGTTCATTTTGTGCTCATAATCAATAATCAATAATCAATAATCAATAATCAAGTATGTATATTCTTTATTTTTAGTGTTTAAATAAAATAAAAGTATGGGAAAACCGCAATTTAATTTTAAGATTTCTGCTGGTAGAAAAAGAGGTAGAACAAAGACAATGCCAGAAACTCGAGCTGAAGCTACAGTTTACAGAAAAGACATAAGAGCTAAAGTAAATCAAATAGCAGAGGCAGTAGATTAGTGCACATAAAATAAAAAACGAGGACAGGCAGCATTAAAACAGGAAAGTTTCCTTTAATTAAAGATCGTGATACAATAGACAGAAGATTAGATGGCAAAGTTAAGAAATGTAAAAAAGGAACATTTAGAAGAAGAATGTCTTGCAAAATCTTTAAAAGAGTGTTCGCAATGTCATTCCATTCTTAAATCTGTATGTAGTAAAATGGCTTGTCGCATTGATAACAAAAAGCCGACAATGATTCTCCCTGCATCTGCAGCATCATCCTCTGATTCTTAAAAAAAAACACTCTATTTTGGTTCTGATTCAAATATTTTAAATCTTAATGACTCAAAGATATTTTTTATATGAAATGTTTGTTTATTACATGTCTCTTTTTCAAAACATTTTATGCTATTAATTTTTTTTTTTGTCATTTTATGTTATTCAAAAAATAGTTATTGCTATTGTTATGGCTGTTATTCTCTTAAATCTATAATTTTCTTATTATTTTTCATATTTCCTATTATTTAAAATATACATTGTTATTGTATTAAAAGCTAGATTTCCTATTTTAAAGCTACATCCTTAAAAACTACATCCATAGCACTGCAAAAAAAAAAAAAAAAAAAAAAAAAAAAAACTTCTTTAAGAGTTTGTAAATTAGTTAATATTACATGGTGGATTAAAAAAAGTCTAACATTATCTAGAAACAACAGAATTGCAAACTTAAAATTAAACTATTAAACAGTAGGAGGTCATAATGCATAAATTGAGCCATTTTTAAAACTAAAAATTTGATTTTCATTCTCTTTTTGAGGATTTTAAAATTGTAAAAGCGGTAAATTTTTAATTAATTTGTCATCTAGAATGTTTAGAGATACTGATTTAATCATTATTTAATAATTTCATTGTCATTAGTGGAACCCAGAGCTGAAAGTTTATATGTGTAGTGTTTAAAAAAAAAAAAGAAAGAAATACTAATAAAAGAACCTGAAAGAACTTCAGTAAAAAAAAAAAAATTAAAAAAAATTAAAAAAAAAACAAAACATTTAAGGTCAAGGATTTTCTAATAAGTTGGAAGATTTTACTTATGTAAAACTACTGACGTATTAAAAGATGCAAAAAAATCTTAAGTACAATTACACAAAATAGTTGCAGATTGGAGTTTAAAAACTCTTGTTTTTTCATGTATTAAGAAGTATAATAACATATATGTTGAAATGTTTCATTTTGATACAAGCAAAAGTTGCTTAAATGTTGAATATGTTTCATTCATTTTTAACATAAAGATAACCAAACATAAAAAAACATATCAACAAATATATAAACACACGTGTGTACTAACATTTCATTTTATAATAGGTTTGCTATATAATTGTAGAACCTAAAAAAGTAGCACACTTTAAATCCCTCTGAAATAATCAACCATTTTTCACTAGAACAACTATTTATTAAATATTTTTACCCTGTATGTCCAACCATAGGTACAATCTTGAGGTTTTGGACAAACTGCTCACCACATTTTTTTCTTGCAATACAAACTCCTTCCCATGACTAAAGTTACAAATCAAAGATTTTTTACATATCGAGTTAAAAGTTTAAAACTTAATTTCTGGTAATTTACATTAAAATAACCAAAAAAATTTACAAATAAAAAATTATATACCTTTCCATTACTAAGTAACTTTAATATACTCTCATGAGAATCCTTAAAATAATAATTAAAATAGTTAAAGATATGGATGATAAATATTTGCTCCAAAAAAAAAAATTATAATTAATAAGTTGTTTTTATTTAACAAACTTAAAAATAAATTTTACAGGTTTTGGAACATCACAGTTTAATAAAATATGATTTTTCATGTTTCCAACAACTTCTGACCTCCAGTACCCAGTAACTTTTTCATAAGCAGGATTTACATACTAAAAAAAAAGTTAAAAACTTATATAACAACAAAAACCTTTAATTATTCCAGTATTTAACTTTAATATTTATGATAAATAGACGAGACACATAAATACAGGTGATAAAAACTTTTAAAATTAAAACTAACTTTTTCAACTAATTAGAAAAAAAATCATGTCAAATTGGAGCAGTGAGCACTTTTAAATCTTTTTAACATTTTAAATCTTACATTAAATCCTAAAAATTTTCCCAATTTTCTGGCTTTGTAAAGAACCTTTTTTTTAATAAGATGATATATTTTACTACTTTTATTCTACGACAAATAATACATAACTTCTATAATTTTTATGAGTTAGGCTCAGTACATTCCGGCAGGATATACTTAGCAATAAGTCAAAAATACTTTACAAATCAATTCTAAATTTTTTTTTAACAACGATCTATATACATATATTTAATTGTATCAGTATTTTATTAATACTATCAGTTTATCAGTCCAAAATAAATAATAAATTTAATAATCAAAAGTCTCTAAATCTTCAGTAGGAAACATAAAGAGGCTGCCAAAAAATAAAAGATTTTGTTGACGAAAACAAAGTAATCTCAATCATCTGGTCAATTACAAGAAATCTATGCCATTATTAAGAGATCTTGCCAAATAGTTTGAATGCAATTATTTTCTAGTCAAAGCAAGGGTTTAAAGGATTACACCAAGAAAAAAATTTTAAAAAAAAAAGGAGAACTAAAAGCAAATCATCAAGCAAGGAAGCTTACCAAACTTTTTAACTGAGAAAATCTAAACATTATTGAGGACAACAAAACATGCTATAAAAAGAATTTCTCACAGTTGTCTGGCCACTATCATTATTATCAAATTTAAGTATATTCAGACTGAAAGTTTTGCTTCAAAGATCCTTGTGTGGCAAGAGATTTGCTCTTGTGGCCTTAAAAGTGCTTTATTCGTCACTCGAAAGACTTTGACTTTGACACAGCAAGGCAGTCTTTTGGCCAGATTTGGCAAGGATCCACTACTCCAAGAAGACAATATAGAGGTACAACTAAAATGGCATCAAAATTATCCCATAAAAAATGAATCCACCAAACTGCCCTGAGCAGTGCGTTATTGAGAGTTAGTGGGCAATTATAAAAGGAATCTTGTTGAAAAGTAACAAATCAGCAAAAGATGAAAAAAATAAAAGTAAAAATGTGTAGCAGCATTAAAAAAGGTCAAGATCCAAAGCAAGATCAAAGCCATGATGATTTATTCTCAAAAAAAACTTGATTACTTACTAAGCAATCTCTGAAATAAACTTTAAAAAATACAATAAATTTCATTATAAAAAAACTAGTTTGTTTTTTTATAATGAAATTTATTTGAATTAGTTTGTTAAGTATTTCTTGAGTTATTGCTAAGTATATCTAAACGGAAAGTACTGAGCCTAACCTAATATAACCTTTAATTTAAAATTTAAAAAGATTATTAAAAGTTTAAATTTTTTTTTAATAACATATAAACTTTGTTAAATTTAAAATTTCCTTCAGATTGCTACCAACACCATCATTACATAACATTGCAATAAAATAATGCTTCTTTAACATAAAAATGTCTCCACTGCTACTTAGACCAGGATATACAAAAATAAAATCCAAGACAAATCTCATTACTATAAGCATTAAGGTTAATGCTTATAAATTTTATTCTTATCAAATAGAATATCTTAAAAAATTATATTTGTATTTTTTTGAACTATTTTTCAAGGTCTGGTAAACAAAGGGTTGTTATCTCTAAATTGTATTATGAACATCTTCTAGGTACAACATATAGTTTCTAAGATTTGGATTGGATTTAAAAAAAAAAATTAGTTTACTCTGAAAAATGCAGAGGAAAATGTTTTTACTATTTGTTCCTTTTTTAATTATAATATTAATTTCATGGTTCTTTTTTATTACTAAGTTTATTATTTAATTATAACTTTTTTTTTTAAATGCAAATATCTCTGAAAATAGGGCTCTCCTGATCAATTGACTTTAGAAGTAAATTGACAAAGTTTTGTTTCCGTTCAGTAGAGTTCAGTATTACCTATTTTTTTAGTATTTACTTTGTGAGTCAATTCAGTTAACTTTTTCTGGGATGACTTCCTCTTCATTTAAAATCTAAAGAGAAAATGAATTTAAGGCAGAAAGACAAAAAAATTTTAATTGGATGCGACTCATTAAATTCTTGGTGGTAGGTTATTATCAAATTGTCAATTTTTACAGTTTATTTTATTTTACAATATATGGCAAGTAATGTTAAACACCAAGGACGCAGCAAAACTAACAGTCTTACAAGGTACAAACTAAACACTAAAACCTTTCGTTCCCTTCCCCAATCTGCAAAAACATCATGTGATCACATGACCAAGACAACAAAGAGAAAAAAGAATACCCAGTTTTGATTGGGAGCTTTCCATCACTTCAGGTGGATGCAAAAAGCATTTTATTTTTAATATATATATACATTTAAAGCAATTTAAACTAACAAATTCAGAAAAAAATTCATTAAAGAAATTTGCTTGTTTATTATAAATATTTTTTGTGAAGACCCACAATTATTGAACTTGTTAGTAAAGTTTAATGAAATTTAGGACTTTCAAAAATGATGTCTTAATTCTGAACAAGTTGTTTGTTTTTTTGGTTTAATGACTCCTTGAATGACATTAAAGCTATTGTCTAAAGAATAGAACAATGATTCTGATGACTACAGTAATAAGCAACTGTTAACTGCATTACAAGAAAATGTCTTGTTAAAGAAAAAGATATAGACAATTTTATTAAGCCCTTAAGTATGATTTTTTAAATAGATTTAAAATCGTTATCAAATTTTTTTACCAATCTGGGTGGGAGGTGTGATGATAAAAATTATTTATGAGCCAAAGTAGTGAATGCCTTTAGAGTTGTCAATGATACAGCTGAAAGAGGTGCAAATATAATACTTTAATTTGTGTTTAACAAAAGATGAAGAACAGTGGTAATACCTAGGGCACTTACTACTGGAAGTAGTAGGTGTCCAGTTCTTCTCAAGCTTAAATAAAACAGGGTTACTTTGTTCAACATTAAATTACAAAGCAGTTTTTTTATTTGAAATTTTTAAACTTTTTATTTTACTTATTTCTTCTTGTCTTTAAGATTATTTTTCTATAAACTTCAACCTGATTGAAAAAATGCAAATTTTTTTACTTATTTTTTCTTGTCTTAGCTAAAGATTATTTTTCTATAAATTTTAACCTGATCGAAATTTTTTTTTAGAAACTATAGGTTGTACCTAAAAGACGTTTACAATTTGAATATAATAGAAAAATAAACAAAATGTGAACTGGATGGAGACTCTAGGATAAACCATTTTGAAAAAAACATAAATTTAAAAAAACCATAAAACCGACCCTAATTTTTTTTTATTTCTAGCGCATTTTTGAAACAAAAACATGAATTTATCAAAACAAACCATAACCAAATATTTTTTTTTTACAAACTTGCCATGGTCAAGTTGTAAAAACAAAATATTTTATGTGTAGCCTTCGATCACACTTTGGGTTTTCAAATAGTCCGGAACAAAAAAAAATATTTTTTTTCAACCCTTTATTTGAATCTGCGTATGTATATATACATATGCACTAAAAAACAAATCAAGACCAATAGTATGACTTCAGATCAACAATCTGATGTCATACTGAAGCAGGAAGCTGAAGGGGTTTCAGTATATAAATCAAATGATAAAGAGAAAAAATGCAAGGCAATTGCTACATCAACTGAGGGTTTGGATTGGGATACAGAGATAACTTTTTTTATTATACCTTATTCCCTCTCTTAAAACTGAAAGGATTTAGGTAAGCAAAAATGTTAAGCCACTACCAAGTGTAAGTAAATATTAGGCTCATTTAAAGAAACGCTCTTTTTACATAAATATTAATTTTATATTCAAAAATTTCAAATTTCTTTGTTATGTTTTTTAGAAAAAGCAAAATATACTTTTATTTTCTATTGAAGTATAAAAAAAAAAGAATACAACAACACATTAAATTTCATTTTAACTTTAAAAAAAAGTGAAGGATTGTGAGTTTGAAAAAAGTTTGAAAAAAAATTAAACTAATTAAATTAAAATTGCTAAAACACTTATCCGGTTTGAAGTAATGCAGCTTTACCATAGCAACTGCTATCTATTAAGTTATAAGTAGAAGTAGCTGAAAAAAGGAATTTGTGTGACACAAGAGAAAAATATGTAGTGGCTGGGGCAAAAGACTTTTTAACTTGTAACTTTAATGGATTTAGGGGGGCACTTTCACTTTGCAGTGTGCAAGCAAAGCTTTTAAATGCTGATTTAATCCAGACAAAAAAAAAAAAAAAAACAATAAACAGTATTTTTTTGAAAAGTTCTTCATATCTTAACTGTACCTGTCCAAACCCCCTAGTTGACACATTTTCAAGTCCCAACAGATAATTATTTTGGTATGATGTCTTCAATGGCATTTAATGCAAGGCTAAGTATGCAAAAATATATGAGCATGCATTTATATATATATATATATATATATATATATATATATATATATATATATATATATATATATATATATATATATATATATATATTATATATATATATATTATTGGTGAAATATAAAAATAATTGTATACATATATTTTACCAGTAATATAGCAGACCAAAATGTAAAGGGCGGGTAGGACTAAACACAGAACCAATGTTAAAAAGCAACAGTTATCCAAATTACAAAGCGCTAAAAATTTAGGGATAAAAAATGTACAGGAATAGAAAGGTAATATAAAACAATTAAGGTAATGTAAAAAATTTGTAGAATGCATGGCCTAATTGAAGCTTAAAAATAATATATGAGTGTGGACCTTACTTAGAAAATACACCAAGAGGCTTAAATGTTATAAGAAATCTGAATGTGAAGAAGTGAGTTCATTCAAAAACATATATAGGAAAGATTTTTTACATCCAAAAAAGAAAAGATAAATGGTTACAAAGCAAACATATCACCAGCAGTATTTAAAAGAAAAACAATAAGAAAATGGATAGTGATAAGCTTATTCAAATAAGCTAAACATGCGTCAACTAACTAAAAAATAAATATAATTATATAATAAAAAAAAGTTATACATGAAAATATAATCATGCTTTAAATAGATGCATTCATATAGAGACACATACAAATATGTATTTATGCGGTAGTGGTGTAATTCTGAGTTCAACTCACTGCTCTCACCTCATCCCTGGTAGTACTGGGCTTAACTTGTTTCTCTGCTCAGCAGCCTTGCATTGGAGTTATAAATTTGAGAGAGGGTTGTAACCACAATTGTATTCTTATATATATATATATATATATATATATATATATATATATATATATATATATATATATATATATATATATATATATATATATATATATATATATATATATATATATATATATATATATATAATGCCTGTGGGTATACAAATATCTTTGTGTACTTAACTTAGCATAAAACATAATGTTATACTGAAATAGAGAACTGCAGTTCATCAGTTTGAGCTTAGGCATTTTTCACGTTATCATCTACATACGAAGTACTTTTACTTTTTTTTTTTTTTTTTTTTATAAACTTATTTTGATTATTATAAAACTTATGTTAAAAACAACTTTAAAATCAATATTAACGAATAAGTTAATTTTGATCTTTAAACATTTTTATTTTGAACTAAAAATTGTTATTACCAATTATTATTGCTATCATAGCTATTTTTATTGCACCAATTAAAAATATTTGAGTTTTTTAATATAATTTTGAAGCTAATATAATAGTTTTAACTGTTATTTAAATGTATTTAATATGCATTGGAAGTTAAAAATGTATTTTTTATACAGGTAATTCCCGGTAATTTGAATACCAGTTAACTCAAACTTTTATTATCTTGAACTGTTTCATTTGGTCCCTTGAAATTGTCTTATTGATTACCATGAAAAATTCTCCTTTTATATCTCACCTCGGATAATTCAAACTTCGATAAGTTGACCTATTTTTCATCCCCTATCAGCAAATTTGCTTCGGATAACTTGAACTTTTTAAACGAGAATTAAATATATTGACATTTTTTTAAAAAAAGAAGCCACTCTATCTAAAACATAAACAAATGTAACCTAATAATTTATTTTTTTGTTGTATTTAGATCTAAAAAGAATACATTGTTATCAGATGTAAAATAATGCCATAAAACTGATGAGTCATGATAAAACCATTGAAAATTTATATACATCACCAGTAAATAAGAAAAAATCGTCTTAACTCTAACTAATATTTCATATGAACCAAAATTTGATTCAAAAGGAATTCACTTTAGCTGAAAATTTGTTATATCGAACCATTCCTTTGGTCCCATGGAGGTTCAAGTTATCAGGAATTAACTGTATTTAATATAAATTTTGATTAAATCTTTTTTTTCTAAAAACAGCCGATAATTACTTGTTGTGTGTGTGAGTGTGTGTGCATATATAAATATATAAACACACATACACACTTTAATTGTATATATATTATTAATTATATTATTTACTCCATTTGTATCGATCACTGAAAATACTTACATACTCACATATATATATATATATATATAAAATAGACACACATTGTGACACTGCTACTAATCATTATTTGTTAATGCTTTCAAAAGAAAAAAAGATTTTAACCTGAAATTCTACTTTGTCAGTGTCAATGCATTGTATTTCTATAGAGTCATAAGCATGTTCTACAGCACTGAATAAGCACGATGTAGCTCTAAATGCAGATTTAAAACAAATATATTAAAAAAGACTTTCTTTTAACACATAACTTTAAATATATTACTAACACATAATACTAAAAATTAATTAACTTCATATCTAATCAAAAATTTTAATTTTGTCATATCTAATCAAATATTTTATTACATTATTGGTAATTATAATTATTTTTTACAAAATATAATTATATAATTAAATACAATAAATATTATAAAATATAATTATATATTTAAACAATTAGTGATAAAAACTGCAATTAATAAATTATTAAATTAATAAGCTAAATTAAAGTTTAAATTTGAATTACTTTGTAATTTCTTGTTTTGAACTCCTTAAAGGTCATAGAGACCATACTATAGTTAATGTAGTTTTTTAAGTTTATTTTTTAATTATCCTAAATGCTGTAACTCTGAAACACATATCTTGACAAAAAAGGTTGTTGAACAAAGAAACAAGCTAAGATATGTAATTCTAGGGATGCATTGGATTTGAAATTTGTACCAATTTCTCATAATGCAAGCATTTATTTTTTTAGTTAAAAAAAATTTTTTAAAAATAAAGTATATAAAAATAAAAATCTATTATACAAAAAAATGTTTTTGATTTTCTCTTGGAAACTAGGATTTAGTTTTATAATTATGCTGTAAAAATGCAGTAGTGTTGGAGTGATTCACCTTGTAAGCAAGAGGTATGATATTTAAACCCATCTCTGGAAGTATTTTTTTAAATTTAACTTTAACTTACTCAACTTACAGGGTTTATGCGAAATATAAAACATTTTTTAAGAAAATATAAAACATTTTTTAAGAAAATATAAAACATTTTTTAAGAAAATATAAAACATTTTTTAAGAAAATATAAAACATTTTTTAAGAAAATATAAAACATTTTTTAAAAAAATATAAAACATTTTTTAAGAAAATATAAAACATTTTTAAAGAAAATATAAAACAAAGTTTATGCTAATATAAAACATTTAATTAGTTAATTAAATGTTTAATATTTTAACATAAAATATTCAATTACGTAATTACTCTATACTATGGAATTTATGTGGTTTATTCACAACAAAGAAAGAGATCTGTAAAAATATATTATTCAAGCTTTATTTTGTTATTTTAATCAATAAATGGAAAACAAGAGACAAAGAAAAAAAAGAACACTTATTACAAAGGATATTGTAAAAACAATAAGAAAGTCAATTCTTAAAGAAATGAAGTTAAAAGAAATTGCGGAAGAAGTTGAAATATCAGTTTCTGCAACACGTTTTATTTCTGATAAAATCTGTAAAGGACTTAGTGATGATGAAATCGCATCAGTAAAAAAAGGAAGGCGCAGCTCTTATGACGAGACACTTAAATCTGAAATTCGAATGTTAATTGAGCATGATCCATCTCATACGTTAGCATCATTGAGAAACATTCTCGTTGAAAGGAATATTAATGCATCTATACCAACAATATCTAAATATTTGAAGTCGATGGAGTTCACTAGAAAACGACTTACATTAGTACCAAAAGAAAGGAACTCGCCGCAAAACATTGATTTAAGACAAAGTTTTTGCAGGACTATTAATTCGATTCCTGACAAAAACTTAGTGTTTCTAGATAAAACAGGCTTTAATTTACATACTTCTAAACAGTATGGTTATTCTATAAAGAATACAAAATGTTTTGTTACAGTGCCAGCAAATCGTGGAAAGAATGTAAGTCTCATGGCCGCTATAACAGTTAATGGTATTTTAAGCTTTAAGATAGTGGATGGTGCCTATAATGGCAATCTTTTTTTGCGATTTTATAACCAACAATTTAAGACCGAATTTCCAAACGTATCCCCATTCTGTACTAGTATTGGATAATTGTGCATTTCACCGTAGAAGAGATGTAATCAATTTGCTCAGCCAATCCAGTGTTTCAGTTTACTTTTTGCCACCTTATTCACCACAATTGAACCCGATTGAGGAATACTTTAGTTGTCTTAAAGCTAATTATACTTCTATAAGGCCGTTTCCAAAAACTAACAATGAAGTTAAGGCTACTTTAAATTTGCTTATACCCACAATTGGCGTTGATTTTTGTGGTTGGCATTATAATATGAGAAGATGGGTTTTGAAAGGCATAGCAAGACAAGAATTTTACTAAAGTGGATACTTTGCTTTTTATATTATATCTTTAAGTATAATGAGTTATAATTATATAAAAGATACTCTTTATTCTTTAGAAATTTATGAATAACTTTATGTATCATAATTGCACTATTGATTCAACTACAATGTTTTATATTTTCTTAAAAAATGTTTTATATTTTCTTAAAAAATGTTTTATATTTTCTTAAAAAATGTTTTATATTTTCTTTAAAAATGTTTTATATTTCCTTAAAAAATGTTTTATATTTTCTTAAAAAATGTTTTATATTTTCTTAAAAAATGTTTTATATTTTCTTAAAAAATGTTTTATATTTTCTTAAAAAATGTTTTATATTTTCTTAAAAAATGTTTTATATTTCGCATAAACCCTGTAATTAAAAAAAAAATTTAATAACTTTTTTTAACAAGACTTTCTATAAATACACTTCTATAAAACTGACAAAAAAAATTGACTACATTTAAAGTTATTTTAAATTTTTTTTACAAATTTGCTTTAACTTGTTAATATTCTTTTTTTTCCTCCAATAACTATGCCTCGAAATTCCCATCTGTCTTTATTTTTTTTCTGACTACAAGTTTTCTGACTCATACAAGTTGCAGTTTTTTCAATCTTAACCTTTAACTTCTCCTTTAATTTTTATTTTCTTACTAGTAACTGCCAATATACAGTGAGGTTGCAGCCATGTTGGAAATAAATTTATTATTAAAAAAAAAAATCATTATTATGATTTTGCAAGCAATCTAAAAGAATTTTGTTGAATAAATTTAAAATAGGTTAATGGAAAATAAAAATATCAAAGATGTCAGCATATCACCTAAGTTTGCATTGTAAAGAAACTTCACCATAATCAAGAGAAAGAAGTTCATTATAACATGCAGTAATAGAGTGGTCTTCAACAAATCTCTAAATTCAAAAAAAAAAAAAATATTAATGATAATAAATAAAATACTAACAAAATATATTATATATATATATATATATATATATATATATATATATATATATATATATATGAGCTCCCTTCGTACCGAAGTACAACTTGTACGCTGAGCAGGCGGAGCCTGTATTTTATATATATATATATATATATATATATATATATATATATATATATATATATATATATATATATATATATATATATATATATATATATATATATATATATATATATAATACATGTATACATATGTATACATATATATATATATATATATAATATATATATATATATATATATATATATATATATATATATATATATATATATATATATGTATACTTATGTATACATATGTATACATATATATATAATACATATGTATTATATATATATATATATATATATATGTAATATATATATATATATATATATATATATATATATATATATATATATATACATATATATAATACAGAGGCTATTCTAGACCGTTTTGATTATAAAATAATGATTATAAAATAAATACAGTATTGAGAATTTGTTTACCTTACTAAAACCAGCATTGAGCAACGGAGCTATAGATATATCGTCTTGCTCTAATCTTATGCAAAATTATAACAAACTTAAGTAAACAATAAAGAAAATTATTTGATTTTTTGAAAATTATATTACTTTTAAAAAAATTAATTTTATGTTAACCAACTATTTATATAACTTAAAAACTTTTTGGGTTGAAAGAAAATAATAAAATTTTTGATGTAACAATATACAACACACACACACACAGGTGTAATACTGAAATAGCCATCTATGGGAGCTTCAGCACATACATTAATTGAAAGTTTGAGCAGATAAAATTTAGACATAAATTACATTTAGTACAAAAAAAAAATTATATTCTCTTTTTTTATTTATTTATTCATTTAGGCTTAAATGTAATACATTATAATTAATACAAAAAGATAAAATGTATAACAAAACAAAAAAAAACTTACTTTTTTGTAACAGCAACTATAACTGTATTAAAATTAGGTCTGGTAGCCCTCATATGACTGAAAAATATATATTTTTATAAATTTATTTAAAAAAAATAATTAAGAAAAAAACAAAAACAATAGAATTTTAGAGGGTAACTAAAAATTTTGAAGTTTATTTTTTTTAAATCAAAAATATCAAAAGAAGCTCTTTTCTTTTAATACATAAAAATAATTAGTTTTATTAAATTTAATAATTCAAAATTATTTTAATATCATTTAAAAAAAGATAAATTATAAATAAATTTTGTTCACAAATAGATTTTAATAGAATAAATAATTTAAATTTAAAAATTTCTTAATTTAAAGATTTAGTGAAATAAAAAATTTATAAAAGCAAAAATCTTAAAAAATCGTTTTGATGACTGAATATTTTGTTACAAGCAACAGTATTTTATTACAAACAACAGTATTTTGGGTATTTAGCCATACATTTTATAGCATATATAAAATAACCAGGCAGATTATGACACCATATGAGATAACAAGCAGATTATGAAAGCATAGGAGATTACAAGGCATATTATGACAGCATATAACAATAGATAATAATAAATTCTAGTCAATAAAAGAAGTAAATAGTAATATGGAAATGTATAACAGAATCAAAATATTTAATAGTATTGAAGGGAAAAAGTCCTTGAAATGTTAATAATTTTTTTTTTAAGAATATATTAAATTTGATTTGATATAGTAGTGTTGAAGTATATAACAATATGAATGTATAAACAATATGAATATTTAATAGTCAGGAAATGTATAACAGAAGAAAAGTAATATTATAACAGAAATAGTAATTTACATATTTTAATACTTTAATTATAAAATATTTAAAAATATAAACTAAAAATATAAATTAAAAAATTAGACAAAAATTTAAAATAACATACACATAAACAAAAATATAAACATATAACAAAAAAATAATTATTTGACAAAAACATACCGACATAATGCTTCACCATCAAAAGATGTGTTCACTCGAATATCAATCATAACAAGCTAATGAAAAATTCAAAGAATAAAATTAAAAAAAAAATAAAAAAGACTAAAGTGCTATTTAAATTCAAAAGTTTTACCTCTGGCATGTAAGAAAGATAATATTCCATTGCACTCTCAGAGTTATACTGTAGCTTATACTTATAATTGCCTCTCTTTGCTGCAGCAACAAAAGCATTCAACTGAGGATCATCAGCACCAAACACAAATAAAATCTAGAGTTTAGAAATTTTTATTTAAAAAATAAAGTAAAAACAATTGATATCAGTTCATATAAAGAAACTTTTTAAAAGTTAACCTCCATTGCTTGCTTGTAGACTTTCATTGGCCCAAGTTGAAGTTCAGATTTCTAAAAAAAAAATTACATCACTAAAATAATAAGTAACACAAAAAAAGCTTGTAAAGCTGACTATAAGTTGATTTAAACTATTCTCCTCTTTTTAAATTTTAGACATTAACAAAAGGTTAAAACTTGCAAACAAAATATATGCATTAAAAAAAAAAGAAAAAAAAAGCAACTAATCTTTTCTATAAAGGACTTAGCTTACATGAGTTTATTCAACACAAATTTGCCTTTTAGTATACACTTTACTTGAAACAAGTTGAAAACATCATAAAGAATTGTTAATAAATATATCTCAATGAGCTCATCATGAAGAATCATTGATACAGAATACTTGCATTCTTTTTTTTTTAATAATTTTTTGTTACTAATACATTAGACAATTAAAATAAAAATTAAATAAAATATATTAAGAAAATTTTCTTGAATGTAAAACACAAAATGGAAACCTATTTAATTTTTTTTTAACATACAAAACTTTTAGCTAAAGCCTTCATAAATAATCTATGGAGCAATAAATGCTAATCCTGTACAGGCTGATTAATAATTGTACTTGATACATTTTTTAAATATTCAAAAAATTACTTCATTGAATTTAAAAATTGATTCAAAATAATTAGTTCAATTATTTTTACAGTATATTAAAAAAAGATTAAAATTCTATATAGAAGAAATATTATATAATTTTTATATTGTTATTTTAAATAGTTTTACTTACAAATAATAAAAAACATTAACATATATACATACATATATATATATATATATATATATATATATATATATATATATATATATATATATATATATATATATATATATATATATATATATATATATATATATATATATATATTGACCTCTTAATAAATATTTGTAAAACAAACACATTTGAAAAAATTTATTTTAATAAAAAAATATTTTTAGTATGTTAATACAAAAGGATTGAGTGTCAATTATTATTTTTTTTTATCAATAAGAATCTTTTCTTTAATGAGCAATGACATCAAGAATTAAAAATTGTAAAGGGGAGATATCATTAAGATGGTTTTAAGGCTTTTTTTTATTTAACTATTATTTTGGAAAATAAATATATGATAAACAAAATTTTATTTTATTTATCATACACAGATATATATATATTATATATATATATATATATATATATATATATATATATATATATATATATATACACAGTTCACAATATACTTGATTAAGTGATTTAAAATAAACTGTTTAATTTTGATTTCCATATATATTCAGTATATAATAAAAAAGGAATGTTATTTTGAGTGTTCAAAAATTCTTGAACTGATAACAACACTGACAACTCTTAAGTAATTAAAAAACGTTATAATCCACAATTAACTTTTACTATAACTTTGTTCATAACCAGCATATAAGCTCTAAACAAATTTTTGCTTCGTGAATAAAAATATACAAAATTAAATAAATTTAATTCTTAGTTTATTCTTAATAAGTTAACAAAAGGATAAAGCTTAAAATCAATAAATCAAATAGCATAATACATACATTTATCTTGTTAAAATATAAATACTATTTTACAGAAAAATAAAGTATTTAAAAAAAAATTAAAAAGATTTTAGCCAAGAGAGTTATGACAAAAGTTGTATTTCTTGTTATAACACAAACTCAGCATTAATAAAAAATTAACAATTTTAATGAAACAAGTTTTTAAAACCATTAAAAAATGTCGTTTAGCGACCGCAAAATGTGTGTACTTTATTTAAAAAAAAAAATTCGAAAATTAACTGAAAAAAAATGTTTTTATCTGCTAAACTAATATAACGCTGATGTTAAATAACTAATATTTTTGAAATAAACAATAAATTAAAAAAAAATAAAAAAAAAAAAAAACTTTTCAAATTATTCAAGCACCATTGACGTTAAATTAAAAAAATATTACAAAATGAAAAATTATAATTACAAAACACTTGACTGACTTGCGCACAAGGATGCAAAACACTTGTCTGACTTAAGCACAAGGATGCTGGGATTATTAATATTTAGTTTCAATAAACTTATATTACATATGTGTAAAACCTTTGCAATAATAAAAAGTTAAATGTATGGGGATTGCAAGTGTTAGACTTGCAGGTTTAAATCTTACATTGATGTTTATAAATAATTTTTAAATATATTAAAACAAATTCTCTCACAGTTAATACTCAAGAAGAAATTCAAGCTCAGTTTATAAAAATTGAAACTAAACTTTAAAGTGCTAATAGCATTTTTTTCAATGTTTTAACATTTTAATGACAGCAAAAGATAAGAAAAAATAATAAATCAATTGAAAAGAAATTCTAAAAGCAAAGGTCTTCTCATGCGGAATTAGTTACAAATAATGGAAATAGTCAAAAGCTAACTATTGATGGAATTAGTCAAAAGCTAACTATTTTTGGGTGATAAGTGATCACCCAAAAACATATATTAATAAGAAATTTGGACCAGCTGACATTTTAAATTAAAAATAATATAGTAATAGTTTAACTTCTCAAATACTTATAAACAATAAATACTATTTAAATCTAATTGAATTAGGATTATCCAATATTTTTTCTAAATATACTTAATTGGTATTAATCTAAATATGTTAAATAGAGATGCAAATCTCATTGTCTTATTCTAAAAACCAATTATGATTAGTGTGTTTTGACCAATCAGATTTTATAGATTTAAATGACATTATACTATATTTGATTTATAATAAAACAGATCACCATGTGATATTGAACATTTTAACACAGAAAAGTAAAACATTTGTTTGTTAAACTTTTGAGATAGTAATCTTTATAGAACTTTAGATTAAATAGTCATTTTTTTAATTTATGAAAAGTGTGTGTGTGTGTGTGTGTGTGTGTGTATGTGTGTGTGTGTGTGTGTGTGTGTGTGTGTGTCTCTGTGTGTGTGTGTGTCTGTGTGTGTTTGTGTGTATATACATATGAAAATATTATATTTTATAAAAAAGGCTGACTATCATCTTTCTTCATATATTTGATTATACTTTAAAATAAGGTAAAATGATTTTTATAACATTTCTTTAATTTATAATCTAAAAAGATATATATTTTTTAAATTTAGGTGTTAAATTGAGTAGTATTTCAGTATTTCAATCAATTGGCAATTTTCAAATTTCAAGAAACTAAAAAAAGTATCTAAAGATATTTATGTGTGTTAAGGTATATCTAATGCCCCCTATTTCTAACAAATCTGCATTTAAAAACAAATCTGTTTATAAAACTTTGTGTTTATTCTCACTAGCAACTTTATAAAACTTTTTAAATTTTAGTAGATTTAGAAAAAAAGCCTACCTTTAGTCTGAATTTTACCCTGAATACAAAAAAAAAAAAATATTTTTATACACGGAACTGAGATATTAAGAGTTTAATTTTTGAACACATTTTGTTCTAGATATTTTTCTACAGAAATTAAATATTTATAGAGCAATATAGAAATCATACACAGCGTTGTTAATGAATGAATGTATAAAAGTCCTTCAGCACCTATATTAATGTTAATTATTGTTAAGGATGAAAATGGTATTTTAACACATTTGTGTGCAATGATATTAGGTTCATGTGAAAGAGCGTTCCTTAAAACTTTTTTTAAAAAAAAAGCCAAAAATTTTATTTTTGTAACTTAACTCTTTTACCAACTTATATCTTCAATTATCATTTGTTTAATTTTTATACAACTTTGCTTTTTTGTGAGACCCAGGTTGGTTTAGATTTTCTATTTTGTTTTTGCTTGGTATATCTTCAACAAGAGTTAAAATTATTAGAGAGAGCTTAATAAGTAAATGTTTTTATCAACAGATTCTTCAATTTTTTTCTGTTAAACTTGATTTTTGATATTATTTTGTTATTATTTTATTTTAGTATGCACTGTTGAAGAGTGGTGTAAATTAATAAACTTTCATGAATGAAATTTATTTTTTTAACCATTAACCAACAGAGAAGTAAAATCTATACAAAAGTCAACACAAGGTAAAGTTTTTATTTAAGAATTAGGTGCGTTAATGTTGTTAATTTGCTTTATGCATTTAACCACTTCAGTCAAGCAAAGTTTATGCAGTTTTTTGCACTTGAATTGTAATTGTTTGTTTTAAAACAGTTTTGTTTTAAAACAGTTATTGATTTAATTAAAGATATTAGCATATATAAAGTCAGTATCATATATAGAAGTAATAACATATATAACAGTAAGTGGTTAAAGTTCTAGCTTAGAACCAAGAGGCTGAGGTTCAATGCCAGTTCTAGCACAATAAATGACATGGTAAAGAAGGAAGCATAAACTTTTAAGTTAAATGCTCTAAGGACTTCTGAGAGCACTTTGATAACCAGACACATAAAAAAGCCAATAACATATATAAAGTAACATAACATATATAAAAGTAAGTAAATTCAGTAACATCTATAAAGTAACATATGTAACATTAAATTAGATTAAGTCAGTAGCATATATAAAGTAACAAAACATATATAAAAGAAAGTCAAGTCAGTAACATAAATAAAGTATATAAAGGGGAAGATCTTTTTACGAGATAATGAACAATTAATTTTTAAGATAGAAACATTTAGTGAAATCTACATATTTACAACAAAATTTACATATATATATATATATATATATATATATATATATATATATATATATATATATATATATATATATATATATATATATATATATATATATATATATATACACATATATAAGTGGTGTACACTGTGCAAACTCCAATTTTTTGTATGTTCATGCTTATGTCAAATGATAATGTTTAGCAAAGAGTTGCGGTGATTGGAGCTTGGGGACAAAAAAAAACCCAATTTTTGGGCCCACCCAGCCCTTAACGCAGGAGCAACAAGTTGATAAAATAATTTCTTTAGTATTTTTATCTAAATTTATGTTCATCAACAAATTTCAAATTTCATGCAATAATCTTTTATTTTTCAAAAATTATGACCATATAAAGTTTTAAC